TGTTTGTTCAAAGATTTGGTTTAATGTTTCTTTGTTAATTTTTTGTTTAGTTGATTTGTGATAGTGCAGTATTGAGGCCCCCACTGTATTGATCTCTCTTTTATTTCCACTAGCGTCTGTTCTTTGAAGTTGAGTACACACCATTTGGTGCATATATAATTATTTCTTCCTGTTGAATAGTTCCTTTAGCCAATATGTAATGTCCTCTTTGTCTTGATCAACTTTGTCTGAACATAGAATAGCTACTCTTTTTTTTTTTTTTTTAATGTGTTTAGTGCAGGGTCTACAGGGTCTCACTACACACACAGATCGCACTCCTAGTGATTCTCCTGTTTTCAGCCTCCCAAGCACTGGGATTATAGGTGTGCACCACTGCACCCAGTCTCAATTGAAGTCTCAGCATGCCCTGAGGGCAGGGCCAGCACTGTATGCCAGGGATCAGACCCTGGTCCCTGTGTCTGCCTAAGCAGGAGCTTTAATTCGCTGAGCTATCTGGCCGGCCCTTCCTTCTCCTTCCCCTTTCCCTTCTCCTTCTTTCCCTTCCTTGCCCTTTTCCCTCCCTCCCCTCTCCTGTCTTCTGGTGGCCGGCTCAACCTACGCAGCATGTGGTACCAGGGAACCAACCACAGTCCCTGCATTTGCCTAAGCTTGCCTAAACAGGTACTTTACACAGCTGAGCTATCTTGCCAGGCCATGCATTTCTTCAGGTGCTGTATTATGGAAACATCTTATTTCTCTTTGTCAATTTTGAAGGGAGTGAGGAGAGAGAGGAGGGATAGGAAATGAAAAACCAGAATTGAGATGTGTTATGCATATGAACCAACTCCACATGAGGGGTGTAAGCACTGCGTTCTACAAATATGTAGGGAAAGGAAGAGGATCAAGAGAGGAGTGGAGCCGGGGAGATGGCTCAGTAGGATAAGCGCTTGACTGGCAAACGCAAGGACCTGAGTTCAATCCCCAGTTCCGCAAAAAAAAAAAAAAAAAAAAAGAAAAGAAAAGAAACCAGCTACTTAACAGTAGACATTGAGAATATAAAGTATAAGAGAGGAGTGGAGGGGTGGGGTAGGAAAAGGAGAAGAAAAAAGATATTAAAATATGTTATGTAATCTGGGTGGCACACGTCTATAATCTCAGCACTGGGGAGGCTGAGGCAGGAGAATAGCTGTGAATTCAAGGCTAGCCTGGGCTATATATGTGAGTTCAAGACCTGCTTTCACCATTATATGGAAGCCCCGTCTCCAAAAATGTTACACACACATATCCACTTTGTATGAAACATGTATTGCACACATATACTAATAAAATAAACGTTTTAAAAATTGAAAATAATTTTGCAGGATATCTCAATCTGGATTGGAAGTTATTTTCTTTTAGGGCTTGAGAACTCATCCTAAGCTCTCCTTGCCTTTAAGGTCATGTAGAATTCAGATGCTAGCTGACTGAGCTCGTAGCAACACAGTTCCCGGGTCTGAGATGGGTGAGGGGCAGGGGAAGCCAGTGACCGTTTTCTTGGATAGCCAGCTGGGGGCTATGGACAGCTCTACGTGGTATGAAGCACACCTGCCTGCTACATCACTTCCTTTGTGTTCATATGGCTTTTTGTCTGTGTTACTATAGTAAATTATTTATGTTTAAAAAACAACTTTTTAATGGGCTCCTTTTCTATGCTCAGTATTCATGCTTTATATATATCTTTAATTAGGTCCACTAGATTTTTGTTAGTGTGTTCTCTAGAATTGCTTGTCAGTCAGGTCGTTTGGGGCTTTATCTCTTTAGTTATATCTTTGAATTTGCCTAGACCTTATTGAATTATTTTGTTACTTCTGTTGATACCCTTTTAAACACTTCTTCTGTGTGGTTTCTGATTTCTTTCTCCTTGATGCCCTCTCAGTCAGGTTTGGGGGAATTAGTTTTCAGGGGAATTTTGTTACCTTCTATTTGAATGTTTGGTTTTTTGTTTGTTTGTTTTCTGTGCTGAGGTTTGCAGCTTCTTTGGCCTAGTGCCTGGTTCTCTGGAATAAGCCACAGCATTGTTTATGGCCCCGAGGTAATCCACATACAGGGCACAGAGAAAATCAATTGACAGCACCAACTGGGTCACCTTGGCTGGTAAAAGCAGTGATAATGATAGCATCGAAGATAAAACTGGCAAACCACTCGTGAACTGCGTTTAATCCAAGCAAAGAGGTCTAGGATTTTAGTGTGGTCACTTAAGCAACCCAGACAATGACCTATGTAGTAAGTCACACTACTAGTTTCTGCTGAATGTGGGTAATGGTGTGTAAGCCCAAAAGATCAGTGGATTAAACATCTTCTCTTTCATATCTACCCCTTCTCACTGCCATCAAATTGGCCTCCCACCACGGAATCCAGGCCCTGTGCTGTTTCTAGTCTGAGCCTGCACATCTCAGGGGATCACTGTTCAGCTCTCATCCTTTCCAAGCCTGTTTCCCCAGGCTTTCTATCAGCTAGTCTCTGCAGTAGGGGTGCCTTTTAGTTCCGGAATAAAACTCTTCTGGGTGTTGGTCTCATGCTCAGTCTTTGGTTATCATCTCTGCTGTGCTGTGCTGAGGCAAATCAAGGTGCAGAGCAGCTAGGATTTGGGAGTTTGCTGCTTTCTGTTTCTCCTGCATGGTACACCAGGGGCTGGCACCCAGGGCGCCGCAGTGCCTCTCTCCTCCTCCCACAGGACACGTGAGGTGGCTGGCGGTGGTGCTGGGTGCAGGGCAGTGCCTCTTCCCCCATCATAGGTGCAAGGCAGCTGGTGTTGATGGTACGGAGGGGAGGGGTTGGGGCCTTTACTAAACTTTTTTTTAAAAAAGGGAATTATGGAATTATAAAACTTTTATGTAAGACAGTAGACTGAAAAATCTTACAAGTAGAGTCCATATTAGATGGCTTTACGAGTGTGGGATTGGGTTTTGCTAAATTATTTAGCCAGTTAGCCTCCCTCTACTGTTAGCTTCTCAAAATCAGGATGGCACTTTTTGCAGTCTCTTCAGTGTGTTTCCAGATTAGTCTTCTTTCTGGCAAAGTTAGATCAACAATAGAAATATACCTGATTAAAATGCTATGTATATAATTTAAGTGAAAATGTAAGAAGACAAAATAGTACTATGGTAAAGGTTCATCTGGACACAGTGTAAAGAAATGATCATTGCATAGGGATCAGCCTCCTTCTTCTGCTAAAGAAACAGAGACATTGACTTCGTTTCAGAGCTGGATAGAGCCATGTAGATCTTTTTTTTCTTTTTGAATGTATTTAGTACAGGATCTACAAGGTCTCGCTACACTCATTGGACTCGTAGTGATTCTCCTGTTTTCAGCCTCCCAAGTGCTGGAATTATACCTGTGCCACCATGCCCAGAATCAGTCTCAGTCTCACTGCGCTCCGGAGGCCAGGCCAGCACGGGATTGAACCCCAGTCCCTGCAACTGCCTAAGCAGGTGCTTTAGTCTGCTGAGCTATCTGGCCGACCTTTCAGATCATTTAAGAAAAAAAAATTCTTTGTGATTGTTAAAACTCTTGACCTCTTAAGTGCTTACATCTCAGATCCTGACGTTAAATTCTAGTTTTTCTAGAGTGGGGCATAGTGGTACATGCTTATAGCCCTGAAGCAGGGTCTTTGGAAGGTTAAACCTCATCTGAATAGTTTAGTGCCTTAGCAGGGGCTGGAGGCTAGAGGCTGGGAGGAGGAGATGAGAGGGGAAGACAGGTCAGGGGAGAGAGAAAAGGAGGGAGACAGAAGGTCAGTAGAAGGGGCAGGTGGACAGAACAAAGGAAGGAAGGAAGCATAGAAACCGAAATGAAAGGGCTCTGGTGGGGCTGGGGAGGTGGCTCAGTGGAGTAAGTGCTTCCCTGGCAAGCACAAAGGCCTGAGTTCAGTCCCTGGTTCTGGGGGGGAAAAAAAAAGTTCTCATTTGGGGGCCGGGGAGATGGCTCAGTAGGATAAGCACTTGACTGACAAACACAAGGATCTGAGTTCAATCCCTGGTTCCGCCAAAAAAAAAAAAAAAAAAAAAAAGAAAGGGCTCTGGTGCTGCAAATAAATGTATAAAGAGGTGAAAGAACTCCAGTACTGAAATATATTAGATATAGATATAGATATGCTTTTTCTACAGGTCATATTGTTGTATAGTTGGGGATTCTACTCAGGATGGATTATTCTACAGCCCATGTGCATGTAGGCCCCATTAGTTAAACTTTTTTGGAAGAGCTTATAGACTTGACATCCTCTGAGAGCAACTATTTTGTTGGCACACAGTTATGATTATTTGTACTTTCATTTTTCTCTTTGTTGTTGTTGGAACTTTGACAAAATTAAAACTAGAACTTATGACTTGTGATTATTTTTAATTGTAAAAGATGATGTACTTTCAGAAATGCAAATACACAGGTATAAGTATAATACTTAAGTAATTATAAACAAATATCCAATAACTGTTGCCCAGGTCAAAAATTGTCTTCTGCCAAAAGAACAAGGCTCAGACTGTATGCAAATGGTTGCACCTTACCTGTGGGGTCTGAATGATTATAACCTTTCCCCCAAGAGTGGTTGCACCACTTTAACTTTAGTGGTCATCATTTGTTTGCCATGTGACCACCTATGGATGCATTATTAAACACATTTCATTAAAAAAAATAAATTTCTTCCTAGAGATTAGAAATTGCTTGCTTCCATAGGTAGAAATCACAAAAACCACAGGTAGATATCAAGGGAAATAGGATCATAGGAAACAACATCATGTTTAATTTTATTAACCTTTTAGGCCCAAACTTCTCCAGGCCTAACTTAAATATATAAAATCATTATGCTAATTGTGGTTAGCCAGTACTTTGAGCTGTGAGCAAATTTATTGCCAGTTTATTCTAGTTTCCCCTATCTAGCAGTGAGGTAATACCTTTCGCACTAATATTTTCTAGCTGTGTGTTATGTCCAGCGGAATGAATACAAATACTCGCCACCTGTGCTAACACCCCTCTTTCCCCCTTTGCAGCATGGGTGAGCTCTCTGGCCATGGGGATGATTTTCCTTTGCTGCCCGATAGCCAGCGTCTTCACAGACATAATTGGTTGTCGGAAAACAGCTGTTGTGGGCGCCGCTGTGGGGTTCATTGGGCTCATGTCCAGTTCTTTTGTCAGGTAAGGACTTGGTTTCTCCATGTAGCTCTTAAGAAATTATTAACCTTAAGATTTTCCTTTCAGAAACTTTACTGTTTATAAGGAAGATTCTTAAAACAGTAAGCAATATGACATAAACTGAACTTCCATCTATAGCAGCATATCAGAACCTGAAAAGTTTTAGAATTTTGCTTGCAGTGCTTGAGCTTTAGATATCACCATATATGCTCCCTAAGGCCACGAAAAATGTTTTCTCGTTTGTGTTTTTCTATTTACAAAAATACCTTAAGAAATCAAGTTATAATAATAATGACTGTAGTTTTAAATTAAGCCGAGACTCTAAGAGGTACAAGTGGGATTTTAATGTGGTTGTTTATAAGCTTTATGTAAAAATGATTTACTAATGGAAGGAAGGCTCTTAATAATTCCAAACTGGCTAGAAAACGCCTGTCTGTACTTTGAAAAAAGAATACACTAAAATGTTTAAATATTGTAGAAAATGAAATAGTCCAATGTACCTAAAATAAGACATGAAGTGACACTTTCTGTGTGTCAGCAGAAAAATGTGATACAATGAGGAGGGACTAACTACAAGGGCTTGATGGGCACATTACTTCCTGAAACAGCCCCGAATCTACCCAATCGCCTTGCATGGTTAGGGTAATTTGCAGAGAAACACTGGTTTAATATGTAGCTTTGCTTAGCAGGAATGATTAACAAGAGGACTTATGATCATTTCCATGCTTCATCTCTCCATTAAAGGTTTATCTTCCTTTCCTGTCTTTCTCTGTCCTACCCATCTTCATGCACCATTAGTTGAAAACCATGAGTATAGTCATGGGGGGAGGTGTCAAGTTTGCATTTTTGCCCTGTTTTCATTTCTGCTGACTGGCCTTCAGTTAGAGATCCTTGGTTGTACTTATTTCACCATTGACTACACTTACCCACCCCATCTGCAAACCTGAAGTGAGCTTCTTTTTTTTGGAGGATTTTTTTTTGTTGTTGTTGTTTTCTTTTTGCGAAGCTGGGGATTGAGCTCAGGCCCTTGCACTTGCCAAGTGAGCACTTATTCAACTGAGCTATCTCCCTGGCCCCATGAGCTTCTTTTATACTTACTTTTACCTAATTTAAAATTGTTATTTTTAAAGAGAAAGGTTTGCTTGGAATAAGATGTTTTTAGGTGATTCTGTGAGGTCGTTTCTCTTTGCTCTGTTTTGGCAGCTGTGTCACATTATAGTAGAGCCTCGTCATGTAGCTCTGCACTAGGGGCCTCCTGGCTTCCACACACTGTGTACCTGCGGCTCCACCACTTGCTGGGTGTGTCAGCACTCAGGCCTTAGTACAGAGAGGACTGAGTGGTAGAAAGCACGTAAAACGTCTGTTACCTAGTTTGGCAGACAAACCACACACAGAGAGACAGCAGCAAATAGTGTTTTCCAAACTTTTTTGACCACTGGCAAATAAAAATGATAGGTATTTTATATTATGAACCAGGTTGTCCTTCCCCATGTAGAAAAAGAAAAAAATAAATTTTTTTTTGAAACAGGGTCTCACTTTGCAGTTCAGACTGGCCTGAAGTCACTTTGTAGCCAAGCCTGGTTTCAGACTTGAAGTGTGATCCTTCTGCCTCAGCTTCCTAAGTGCTGGGATTGATTACAGGTGTGTGCCACCATGCCCGGCTAGCAAAATTTGTAGAAACCAGATTTCCCTTACTACACAAAATGCCCCATTTTTTCCATTCTACTACATGAAGGGTCCTGCATTTTCTACTCAACTTTATTATTTCATGTGCTGGTAAAAAGGCTGTCAGAACTTTGGAGCAATATACAGAAACAAGAAGTGTGGCTAGGTTTTAGTATCCAATGAATGATGGATTTACTTTTCATCTAGTTCCTGTTCTGCCTTCTTAGAAAAACCATCTCCATCATCTGGGGTCAGTCACATCACTTCCCTTCTTTGAGTCCCTTGGTAGACATTTGGTACTTGTACTGCCCTTACTCAGTTGTCAGACTTCAGTGCTTGAACCATCTCTTGTAAGTTGAATATTCAGAAGTAAAACAGGCTCAGCCAACACAAAGGTCACATATTTTCTTCTAAGGAGAGATATGAAGCTAATCTCATCAGGTGCTTAGCATTTTAATATGTACTCAGAAGAATGTTTTTAATGTATCTGTGTGGCTCTCTGGGCTTATAACTGCTATTATAACAGTAATACTGTGTATAACTGAAAATTGATGCTTGTTATGACTGTATTGTCAGTACTATTTTTAATATATGCTTTGAAGGTGGCAAAGAAATGTGTAGATTTTAGATTTTTTTCTTTTAAAATTGTTGAAAAGTTTTGACTGGAGAAGTTGCAGTTATGGAAAATTACACGTGCAGAACATTGATGCAGAATAAAGTAGTATTTTTAATTTTTGGGTCCTCTTTTTATTAGGGGCAGATGTATTTTTACTAAGCAGGCCACAGGAGGTTTGAAGGGAGAACCACATTCTGAAATAGTTGGTACATAGTAGCTGTTTAGTATGTTTACTGAATTAAAAAGTAGAGATTCTATAGAGGGTGGCAAGAGTGAAGTGAGACTAATTTGGGAGAACCTAGAAGTTATTCCTCATCCTGATGTGGACAAGATTCTAGCTAGATTCATTGAAGGGGAAGGCACCTCAGACAGAGAATTTGCCCACGTGCCTTAATTTTATCAGAGTCTAGAGTTCCTTGTAGATTACTTCAGCATATTGCCAGACTAGCATTATAGTCTAAAATTTAGTTGTTAACCAATTTGTTTTATTAACCAATTTGTTATCTTAGTTTCTATAATAAATTGTGTGCCTTTACTGCTGATAAATTGGTTTTCAAATTTGACTTAATAAAAAAACTTTAGTTTTCTTTTACTCTTTACCTTAATAGTCTGATCTTTTGCTTCCTAAGAGGTAGTAAATTTATTTGTTTAAGGTGTAACATTTTTTAGTTGTTTATTTTTGAGACATTTATTGTCTTAAAGCTTAGAAACTAGGATCACTGGTGAGCACATTTAATTCAGTCTTTCTGCAATCAGAATATGATTTGCTATCTTGCACAATTCTGGCACCAGTGGAACAGAGGGCGAAGGTTGGTATTCAGCTCTTAGGCCAACAAAAAATGAGGCACACGCTCTTCTGTGCGAATGTTCGTGACATAACCTTGGGAAGACAATATTAATTGACTCTTTTCTTTCACTAGATCTCCTAGTAAGTACCTGAGAAAATTCCATAAAATAGCAGGTTTTATAATTCTAATGTAAAAGGTTAAGACAAAAGTCTATTAGTTTAATTACTGTCAGTTTCTCTGGGGCCTTTCCTGGCATTGACCTTTATTTCTGAGCTAGGTAGAGTACAGTTCTCATCCAGTACTCTGTGTGTCACCAGAAACTGTGGAAGGGATGGAGTGAAAATTACTGATGAATTTAATGATCTTATTTTACACATTTAGGTTATTTTTAGTGCTGCTTTCTTGATTTACTAAGCATTTCCTCTCTGTTTTTGGTTAATTTTTATTTGCAGAAAATATGTTAATCATAAACTACTTTTACCATTAGGTTTTATACTACCAAAATATAATTAAAGCTGCTTTCTATCTTTTTTTTCCCCTTTATACAGCTCCATTGAGCCTTTGTACCTCACCTATGGAATCATATTTGCCTGCGGCTGCTCCTTTGCATACCAGCCCTCGCTGGTCATTTTGGGACACTATTTCAAGAAGCGCCTTGGACTTGTGAATGGCATTGTGACTGCTGGCAGCAGTCTCTTCACTATTTTGCTACCTTTGCTTTTAAAGGTTCTGATCAAAGAAACGAACCTCTTTAATACCCTGAGGATCCTCTGTGTCTTCATGTTTGTTCTCATTTTGGCTGGCTTTACTTATCGACCTCTTGATTCCAATGCCAAAGATAAAGAGAGTGAAAGCAGCAGATTCTCCCTCTTTTCCAGGAAAAAACTCAGTCCTCCAAAAAAATTGTTCAATTTTTCCATCTTCAAGGTGACCGCTTATGCAGTGTGGGCAGTTGGAATACCAGTGGCACTTTTTGGATACTTTGTGCCTTATGTCCACTTGGTGAGTATATATCTTGATTGTTGGTCATGGTTGCCATGACCTCGTACTAGAAATTCCTTAGAAGCACAGGACAGGTCAGGTTGAAGTTGCCTAAAACATTATTCTAGTTGTAATTTGGGGACTGTTGAAGTTATAGGTCTCCCAAGACAAACTCACCTCAACCACCAGACCATGAAACAGAGTCTGTGTCATGGAGCGCTTCAGTACTTAAAAATTCCAACCCTCAACAAACAAAAACAATTTAAAAAGAAAGCCTGAAATCTTGGAACAAATTGTATCAATATAAAGCATTTGATAGGTTATTTTTTCCTAGAAGAGACTTCATCTTATTCAGAGACAAAGATCATGTAATGATTTTGACAATATTAATAAATTATTTTTCAACAGAAGGGTACAGATATTAGATAGTTTCCTCCATCCCCAAGCCAGCAGCTTTGACAGGAGGAGGCGTTATATCTACTCATGGAACACTTGTGGGAAAATGAGAATTCTATATAGAACAGTGTTTGAAAAATAGTAAGTGAGGTATAAATCATGCAAGAGAGCTGAGTTATTGTTAGAAATTAGGATTTTAGGTACTTAAGCAGTTTATTTCAATCTTAATGGCAAAACGCAGTATCTTCATCTGAAACAAGAATAAGTCATGTTGAAAGTGTTTGCCTTTGCAAAACTTACTCAAAAGTGATTGTGTTTCTTTTTTAGTACTGTTTGTGGCTGAAAATGTAGTTAGTTCAACATAGATGACAAATGATAAAAATGACACTAACCTTTCTTTTGTGTGGATACTAATGTGAATTTGGGATTTGTAAAACTTGAAGTCTAATCTTGGGGATTTATGCCATTTTTCTTTTTTTATTTTTATTGAGAAATAAATATGAATGACACAGTTTCACAGCTGATTAATAGGACAGTTTTAATAATGCCATTTTTCTTTAGTTTTAAGGTGTGTGTGTGTGTGTGTGTGTGTGTGTGCATGTGGTTTTTTGAGACAGGGTCTCACTATGCAGTTTAGGCTGGCCTTGAACTCACTGTGAAGGTAAGGCTGGCTTCGAATTTGTAGTGATCCACCTGCCTCAGCCTCCTGAGTGCTGGAATTATAGGCATGTGCCACAATGCACAGCTTATTTAGTTACACAATGCATAGCTTATAAAGTTTTGATCAAAATTCGTAACAGCAGGTGAAATAATTTTTGGGCTCAAAGGGTCAGCAAATATCTACATCATCAACTCTTTTGAGTTCCTGTGCTACTCAGAAAGAAGTTAGGCCAAGAAACAGAGAGAGAGATGGTAGTCATACTGTACATCTAAAAATTATTTTGATTTTTCAATTATCTTATTTTCTTCTTGCCAAAGGAGTTGAGGAAATTCCTAACTGGTGAAGGCATGGAATCACCAGAAGGAAGACATGTAGAAACTAAGTTTTAATACCTTGAGCCACTTGACATTTTCCAGAGAGGTACTAGGTAAATGACCTAGTGTGTGATGCCTGTTGCCCATGAAATGTGTGACTACAGCTTGATCTGATGGATTATTTTCACATTTTTAGGAAAGTATCTTTAAACCATCTAGATCTAATTTTTGTTGGACTAGAGATTTGTTAAGAATCAAGTATATCAATTTATCTCTTCCAGTCTTCCTAGTCAAGAAAATATTTATTATGTCCTCTCTCAAAAATAAGTAGAAATTCTGTGTGTGTGTGTGTGTGTGTGTGTGTGTGTGTGTGTGTGTGTGTTTTAAGGAAGAGTCTACATAGTGTTCAGGGTCTCACTACTAGATCGGACTTGTAGTGATATGCCTGTTTACAGCCTCCTAAGAGCTGGGATTACAGGCACACACCACCACATCCAGTCTCAATTGCTGTCTCAGCATCCCCTGAGAGTGGGGCTGGCAGGCAGGGCCTGGGATCAAACCCCTCGCCCCTGCACTGGCTTGCAGGTGCTTTAATCACTGAGCTGTTTGGTCGACCCTAGAAATTCTTTTTAAATTCTTTGTTACTACAAGGTATACATCCATTGAAATTAGTATCTCAGCTTGACTAAGACCAGACAGTAATCAAAGGACAAGTGGGGGCCAGGGAGATGGCTCAGTAGAATAAGTGCTTCCCTGGCAAGTATAAGGGCCTAAGTTCAATCCCTAGTTCCACCCCCTCCCCCCCAAAAAAAAGGACAAGTGGTAGGTGATTGTGTAGTTATTTCTGGCTGTATATTTACAACTTATAAACTAATTTCACACATAATTAATTTCATTGCTACCAATTTCATTTGTCCTTCACAGTAAACTTATAAAGTGGGCAAAATAGGGGGTTTGTGGGTTATCTTAATTGTTTAAAGCACCTGCTTGGGCAGAATCAGTCAGGATCAGGGGACCACAGTTTGATCCCCAGCTCCATAACCTCACCAGGCCTGCCCTTAAGCAGCCTGAGCTAGCCAAAGAAAAAGTAGGCAAAATAAATGTTAAGTCTCATTTTATACACTAGAAAACAGATCCGTCATTAACAGAGATATTAAGTAGTTTCCCAAGAATCATGTAAGTAAATAACAAGGCAGGGATTGGCTCCTTTCCATGGTTCTCAACTAAGAGCAACTCTTGTCCTGTTCAAGAGCCTATAGAGTGACTTCCCCGTGCATTTGTCCCACCACATTGTGCATTTATCGGAGGGAAAGTGAGTACAGCTACAGAAGTTAAATAAATGCTCCTGGTCCTGAAGTGAATCAAATGTCATAGTGGCCGATCAGTTACACAGTGTTATAGATATGGCTTGTAATCAGAAGCTGTTAGTGAGGTGATGTGCAGAGCAATGAGACCTACATTAACTCTGCTAATAAACTGTCCCTTTTTCTCTGCTCTTCCATTTTGCAGGCATGTTCTCTTATAGACTGTGTTGATATTTTTCATTTGGGATTTTTCTCTTTCTTAAATTATGCCAAAGCCTGTATTGTAAAAGAAACACCAAGACAATTAAATGCCACACAGACTATTGAGATCTTGACTTTGGCAAATGCTCTGAGTTGGTAACTATTGTTATTTAATTAAGGTTTGGGTTGTAAATAATTAACTCAGGCTTTATGAAATAGAATCCTAGTTTCCTCCATAGTGGGAAAAATGTGTCTTAAATCCTTCCATATGGTAGTAAATGATTTTGGTGCATATTAAGCCCTTTCTTGACTATTGAAGGAGACATGTGGGTAACATATGCACTTGATCTGATGGAGCATAGAATCTAGGAAATGTAACAATAAAAGGCAGCATGTGGCTGGAGATACAGCTTAGCAGCATAGTACCTTCCTAGTAAGAACAAGGCCCTGAGTTCAATTTCTGACACCAAAAGAACACAAACAAACACCAGTATGATTTACAAAATATTCTCACATAGATTTTTAAATTTAATCTTCATGTATAAGATTTCATATTTATCTCATGAATGAGAAGACAAAGGAACTGAAATTTAATGAGAGATTATACTAATTTACTCAAGGTCAAGACCTGATTCCATTGACAATCATACTGTTTTAAATTATCACACTGCAAGAAGCAGGACTGTGTAGTGGTTGAAAGGTGAAGGTTCTAGAGTAGTACCGATCTGGGCTTAAATCTTGATTTTATGGCTCACTAATCATATAACCTTGGGCACACTTTCTAAGTATCAGTTTCATCATCTATTAAACAGATAAACCCAGGGCTGGGGAGATGGCTCAGTGGAATAAGTGCCTCCCTGGCAAGCACAAGGACCTGAGTTCAATCCCTGTTTCTGCAAAAAAGAAAGAAAGAAAGAAAAACAGATAAACCCAACTTGCGGAGTTATTATAAGAATTAGAGAAAATTATATGAAGCATCTATTTAAGATAATGTGTCACCAGCTGAATAGTTTTAATAGGAGGTATACAAGATTCATAGAAGAAAGAAAATTTCCAGTTGGAAAAGTAGAAAAAGATTTATTGTATTAGAATTTGGCTTTGAGTATAAGTGTTGTGTTAAAAATTGGATCTTTAATCAACTAAAGAATTAATTTTGTAATTTATATCTTCGAAAATTCAGAAGTACAATGGATACTGTCACAGCTTTCTTAAAGATTTGAGAGAAAATACATATGCTCTCAAAAAAGGTTGGCAATTTAATCTTTTTTATAATTGACTTTTTCTCATTTATATATTTGGTACAGAGTCTCACCATGCAGCTCGGACTCATAGTGATCTTCCTGTTTCAGTCTCCCCAGTGCTGAGATTACAGGCATATACCACCACGCCTGGACTTGGTTGCAGGCTCAGCATACCACAGGGGTGGGGGCAGTATGGCATTTGGGACCAGGGATCAAACCCTGGTCCCTGCACTTGCCAAAGCAGGCGCTTAAGTCTGCTGAGCTATCTCACTGGCCCTTATAATTGACTTTTTTTTTTTTTTTTTTTAAACTTAGGATAGGGTCTACAGAGTCTATAGGGTCTCACTGCGTAGATTGAACTCGTAGTGATCCTCCTGTTTACAGACTCCCAAATGCTGGGATTACAGGCCAGTGCCACCACACCCAGTCTCAATTGCCATCTCAGAGCACCCCTGGGGTGGGGCCGGCACGGCAGGCCAGGGGATTGAACTCCCAGCCCCTGCATCTGCCTAAGCAAGTGCTTTAATCTGCTGAGCTATTTGGCTGGCCCTATAATTGACTTTTAAAAGTAAATCCATTTTGCTTCCTGGAGGCTGTCAAATGTCTTCTTTTAGACCTGCCCATTTATCTGTAAGGGTACAAGTCTTAGAGATTAGTTTGGGTAAGGTCTATCTTCCTAAAGAACTATGTATAGCAGCAACTACTTTGGTTTTTACATGCTGTCCCTAATGCTTGAGAATTGTTTTGGGGTTAACTTCTTATGGTTTCTCCTGTTCTTTCACATCCAGGAGCTCGGCTGCTCTTGGTTCCCCCCCATCTCTGCCTCTCAGTTTTTTTGGTGGCTCCTCCTTTTTCCCATTCCCTGAACATCAGTGTGTCTTGGTGCTTGTCCTTGATATTTTCC